CCTCGTTTGGTATCGAACGGCCCCGAGCGGTCCTTTCCGATACTGACGAAGCTTTTAATGTTGCTTAAGGTCGGTTTCCATAGCCGTATAAGCTTAGCGGGGATACCAAATTCATAAATAACATAGAGGCGTGGAGACAACTCTTCTTAGTGCTGTCGAAGGCGGCTTTAAAATCGACGAAGAGGTGGTGGGTGTCGTTGTTGTTTTTAAAGCAGGTGATTGATATCCGACATTCTTCATGGTCAGGTAATGTAAAGTTTTTGCCATCGTCACCCATTATGGTTTTGGGTTCACCACTTCCGTATGCTCCAAGTTCACTGCCATACAGCAGCCTGGAGAAGTGTTCTCTCCATGAATTCAATATGCTCCTAGCATCTTTGGCTAGATCACCTGTGCCCAACAGGAGTCTACTCTGGTCTTAAAACCCTTGATAAGTTGACGTATCTTCTCATAGAATTTTTGAGCATTACCCTTGGCGGCCAGCTTCTAAAGCTCTTCATACTCACGCATCTTGACCTCTTTCTTTTTGTATTCAGATGCTTCTTGCTTCCCTATTAAGTTCTTGTCCCACGCGCGTTGTCGTCGATCGCATCGTTGCGAGGCAGGCAGTCTGTTTTCTCTCCACTTTCCACATAATTTCAATATTCTTGGAGTTCGTTCGCTATGCTCATCCTGAAACGTTTAGTAGCTCTTACGTTTTCAAAGAGTCTTAAGTGTTTGAATATTGCCCGTCCCGGTTCCATCGTCAGACAAAATCACTAACCATCTCCTGCTCCTCAATGCCCTTGTGGTCTGGAATCCAATTGATAACCAATTTGCAGATTTTTGCGCGGCTCCAATGCAGATGTAGAGGTAGAGCTCGGTAAAGCTAATTTCTAAGCTACGGAGCGTTCACAGTTCGGTTTGGGAGGGACTTGCAACTATGAGTTTTCCCCTCATTGCCTGAACTACTACCTACGCTTGTGCTGAGATTATCTCTTCAACAGACGCGGCAGCCTTGGAAACGGTGGCTGCGCGAATAAAATTATAAGACCTCGATGAGAGCAAAAAAGGGGCTTAAAAACAATAAATACAAATACTTCAATTACCCACTCGAGTTGCTGTCTGAACTGGGGTGTCAATGGTGTTGGCAACAACTCTGCAGTATTTCCACTGCTGCTGCTGCTGCTGCTATTTTACTCACTGTTGTTGTTGTTTTGCTGCTTCGGCGTGTAAATTATGCTGAGTGTTTTTCGTTGTTGTTGTTATTGCAAAAATGTAGCTGATCTTATTAATATTACAAACGTTTTTTCAACACCTTCTCGCTGTTGTTGTTGCTTCTGCTTTTGCTGACATTGTGGTTGGCATTGTTTTTGCCGTAAATAAACACGAGTAGACGTGTGCGAACGTTGTTGTTGTTGTTGTTGTTGTTGGTGGTGGTGGTTGTTTTCTGCCTCCTTGTTACAATCGCACTTGCTACGTGCTGTTTGCTTGTTGTTGTTGTTGTTGTGGTTATTATTGTTGCCCCACTGTCTTCTACGTTGGCACTTTCCTTTGACACTTCATTGGCGCGCGAGTTAATTAAACGGCACTGCTGATTGGAACATTTTCATGGCGTGCGCACGCCGACTGCTGCAGAGCGCAGCGAGCTTCCCGTCACTACCACTCCACTGTTCAGCTCCATTAGGTCGGCTCATTGGCTGGGCTGTTTGTTGTTGCATCGTTTATTTATTCAGTGTGGCAACCGCTGGTGTGAGACCACCAGCCGTGCGCCAGCTTCCCGTTCGCCACAACAACCACCAACCACCGTGCAATGGACAGCAATGGACTGTTGCAGCAGCAACAATAACACAACAACAACTACGAGTGATGCCAAGCAAAAAGTTCTTACTCCATATGTTGTATGCACCTCTTAGAGATATGTACATATAATTGAATATGCACATACATACATACAAACATTTTATGCGCTTCTGTGTTGCATTGTTTGTTTGCCTGTGAAATAAGTTGTGCAGCAAAGTGTTGAATGTAATGCATTTTTTTGTCCAAAGTTTACACCAGATTTGCACAATTCTCAGGCATTTTAATGATTCGTGTCACTTCCATGGAAAACAAATGAATAATAATCACATTCATGCACATCTACATACGCACAAGTATATATATATGACACATTGGAATAACTTTTATGGGCGGTGCTCCGTGGTGAGCCGATCTGCTCAGCGGTGTAAAGTCAAGTTGGAGTTGAAAGTCGATTCTTATATTTAAAAATAGTTAAGGATTTATGTTTCTTCTTAATTTGTCTTGTAAGAGAGATACGATTCGGGGGCATGCATCCAAAATGTCCAGCGGCTTTATTAGGCAGGCGCCTCAGGTGGTTGAGGTCCTTGTAGGACTAAGGGCTCACATTAACGCCGGCCAAAGTTCCAGACAGACGAGGTAAGTACTAGGAGGTCCTTGTGAAATGTACCATAGCGGCTTTATAAAGCAACACAAATTTGGTGTCGGATTTTGTGTCGGATTTGGAGTAGAATAGAGACTGAGTTGTTGAATATTGTCATTCACACTGCTAAAGCGAAGTTCTTCAGAGCATCACTGTTTTGAATTCGATGAAAAAGAAAGAGAATGCGACCAATAATGTCTTACTCCACTAAGAATTCAAAATCAGGCTTGGCACAACAGTCGAAAAATTAATCCTTCACGGTACAAAATCTCGTAATGGTCTGAGACTGATCGACCAGTGTCCGAAACACGGTATCATGTGAGACCAGTTTCAAATATAAAATGAAACCGTGCCTTAATAAAGAAATGGCGCGATTTCTGGTATGAAGCGGAAGGCCGACCCCCAGAGGAGAGAAAAAAGACCGTCTGTTGACGTTTGAGTAAGCTACGGAGAGTTGAAGAGAGACGTAATACGTTTTCGTAGAAGAAAAACGAAAGAGGCTGAAATGCGTGAGTATCAGAGCTTTAGAAGCTGGTCGGCAGGGCTGTTGCATGAAAATTCTTGGGGAAGACGAGACAATTTCAAAAAAGTTTTTAAGCTGCAGCATATTCATGTAGGAACCTGAAATGCCAATTGCTGACCATTTCTGAGGGCATACTGAATTCACGTAGGGAACACAGCCTAGCAGTGAGTATGCAGCGATGAAAATAGAAAAGAAGTTGCAACGCTCACCTATGAAGACAAACAGTCAAAAACCAGCATAAACCCCATCGGCTGTCATCCGAAAGCATTCTGTGTAGTACCCCCTGGTGTAATCAGAGAAAGATGAAGACTTATACTCCATTAGGACATAAACCTAGCTGATGGGTAATCGAAAAAACGGCTAAAGCGCTGTTGTTGACTCGGCCATAATCGTGGTGCTTCCGCCAATGCAGAGATAAAGGAATGAAACCGGCTTAGGCATAACTTCGAAAAGTATAATTTTTTTTCTTTTTACTAGAAGATATGAGACTCTCTAGCTCAAAACTTAGGTAGGTAAAGTTCCAAACACTTTTTGGGCCAAAAAACTAGGTAAATTTCAAAAAGGATCAAAAAACTAGAAAAATCGTTTTATTCCAAAGAGTGTAGACGGTAGAACACTGAAGCACTGCCTGTCTTAGTGGAAACAACATAGCAAACCAATGTCTTATAAACATTTTCAATGCGGTGCGTCTACGATATTGCATAATTATCATTTAATTCACAAGGGACAACAGATGGGATTCCCATGTGAAAGAAAAGAAGCTTCGAGTCATTACTACACGTATTGGTCAAAACTTGGTAAAAGGGTCTGTGGGAGAATTTACTGTAGAGTTTTGTCAAGAGAAATTCACTCTCGACACATGAGCTGTGCATTATGCCATCAGAAAATCTAAAGCAGGAGATGTCGATTACTTAACGTAGAAGCTAAATACTATAGTCCTCCTTGGACGTGGAGAATAGTAATATAAAGAGCTATAAGATGGTGAGAGATCTTTGAAGAAATATCACTTCAATGCTAATTTCAACATCGATGAAAATGTCACGCTGCAGCGCTGCAAGCCCAATATAAGAAATTCATCCAACACAGATGATGACTCAATCTAGAGAAGCGTTGCAATGAGATCAGGAATATAGCCGTCATCGGAATACAAATAGTTCACGAGAGCTTTTTTCGCCACACTGAATAAATAAATGAAGCAACAACAAATATTCAATGAGTCGACCAAATGGCCGCAGTCGGCGTGCGCACGCCTTGAAGACAGTGCCCAGTTTTTTCTGAAATCTCGAGACACTCCACTTGCGAATATCACATTTTTTGAAGTCTCATAAAATGAAAACTTTTAAAAAGTTGAGCGAGATAGTGAGCTCAGGATAAATATATGTATTTCTTAAAACTGACTGTTCTATCTGCGCCCAGAAACCTATGCAACCTAACCCAAGGTAGCCCTAAATTTCCTTGTTTTTAAGCTGGATAAATCATAACTCTGAAGTATGAACCCCAAGCCAGAAGATATTTGAGTTAATTTTTAAGACAAGTCTCTATGCGACCAACCACCGCAGTGTGAAGACTAACATTAACGAAAGGGAAGCGAAAGGCTGGATCAGTTGGCCACGGAGTTTCTTCCAGTGAGTGCATTTAATTTGTAGCTTTAAAAGTAACAATGGCCTGCGTACACCACAGTGCTAGGCAAACTGTGAATCTATTTATTTTTTAAATAATTTTTTTTATATATTTATGTAATCAAAACAGCTTATTTTTTCAATTTATTTTAATTTCAATTAAATTTTATTTCAGAATGCATTCACAAGATTAAGCCCAGAATGAAGCGTTTAACTAGACAACTAAGTAAATACATATTTATATAATATATTTAAACTACAGAGCGCTCATACTTTTCAATACTATCTTTAAGATACACAATCGATTTACGTTATACACATATATAATTTACAATTACATTTTGCCTTACACTTACATTTACAATACATAAATACATTTTAATTCCCAATAAATACTTCGAATAGCCACACTTAAGTTCACCTTCCCAAAACGCAACTAATTCACCACCTCCACATTGTCATTGCAGTCGTCGGCCGCCAACGTTTCCGCTGGTTGACTACGCGTCTCATCACCGCTATCATCACAACAACTACTGCGACTACTGCCGCTCGAACTAATGCTGCTAGCGCTCGATTCATTATCCTGCCGAGCACTACCACCTGCCTGCAAACGCATGCGCTTCTCTGGTTTCTTTAGCAGCTCCTCAATGGAGTAGGGATTACGCTTGCGACAATTGGTGACATTACCATGCGCTGACGACTCGCCGCCACTCAGTGAGCCAGCGTGCGTAGGTGCAGCATTCAACGAAGTCGCCGGCGAAGACTTGCCCGAATCACAATCACTAAGCGCATCACCAACGCTGTGCGCCACCAAATCGATAGTGCCCTCCGTGCTAAGCGCGCCGCCAATAACACTACTGCCACCACCACTACTAGCAGCATGGAAATACGGTGGGCATTGCGCCTGCGCATAGGGTAAAAAATGGTTGGCGGCTTGCGAATGCTGAGTGGAATAGTAGAGCAACGAAGGGTGCCACAGCCAATGCTTGTGCAGTGCTGCATACGAGAGATCCTGTGGACTTAGATGACCAGTGGAGACCGCTGATGAAACGGTGGCTGAGAGTTGTGCAAGCGCAGATGTGCTGCCACCGGCGGTCGTCAGTGCAGTCATATGTGCTGCGACTGGATGCTTCGGTGCAGGCTTGATAGGCATCTCGACACCGCTGCCCGGAGACGCCAGCAGACGCGCGTCCTGTGTTGTTGTGGCGTTATTGCCGCGGTTGCTTTCATTCGCTGACATCGCCGCGGCGGCGGCAGCAGCTGCTGCAGCAGAGCTATAACGAAATTGTGCGGGCAAAGTGAGCGCATGTGGTGCAGCATTGTGTGGATGCGCGTTGGCAGCGGTCAGATGCGTGGAAGTGTGTGCATGATGGGCTGTGCTGAGTGGTGTTAATGATGCGCGATGCAGCAGCGTACCCGTAGGTACAACGCCGCCATCTGCAGTTGGCGGCGGACAGCCTGCGGAGTTGCTACTACCCACTGCAGCAGCAGCGGCTGCAGCAGCGGCGGCACTATTCGCATAAAGTTGCGCTTGTGTTGCATAACTGGCAGACGACATTTGCTGTGCGGCGGCAGCGGCTGCGGCAGCGGCACTCTGCTGACTCGATGTCATCTCATCGGTCCAAAGACCGCTATTGCGTAGTATGCGATTTATGGAGCTTATGGAGGGCACAGAAGAGGGATCACATATGCGTTGCTGCTGCAGCTGCTCACGGATTTCCCAAGCGAACATGCCGCTATTCTCCTCCTTCAAACGGATGATCTTCTTAACGACGGTGGGTGTGGCCACTTGCTGGAAGAGAGAGAGAGAGAGAGAGAGAGTGGAAAGAGAGAATGAGTTTTATGAACAAATTGTAACTTTAAAGGAATAAAGAGAAACTATTTGAGTAAGTTGCATGCAACGCAAAAAGTGCTAAATTAAATACCGTAAAATTCAATTGTGTCTGCAACACATGCCACATGCTCACCAAATGCAAGTGCAGCACGCAATAAGCGGCATGCCAACTCAGGCCCAAATGGTCTTAAGCATGCCCTTTGAAGCCTGCCGCCAGTATACAGCGCATACAGGACTTCCGTAACGGTGGCGCAACAATAGTCAAGTGCCTGTGCGGACACGCCTCTAATGAGTTCATGACAGATTGCAGCGGAAATGTTGCAAACATTTGCAAATCTACGCGCTTTTGCACACGAGCTCTCAAGAAACAACACATACCTGCGCTTCACATATAACACACTAATAAAAAAAAACGCTCTCGTCCTTTAATTTCGCCCACTCATAAGAGTCCTCGTATTGCCTTACGTGTCGCAGCGCAATTCATTATAAATTCATAAATGCACACAGGCATACACAGCGAATCTACGCCCACAACACATAACCACAAGCGCTCCTGACCAATTTTACCTACCGCCTTGTGTGACTACCAGCCCTTTTGGTGCTTACTAGCCGCACTGCATTATTTATTTCTCTCCCCTGAAGTTCCCCTGAAATATTAAAGCCTTTTCCCTCACATATTTACATTGTCTGCGATGGCTATCAGCTACTAAACACGCTAGCCGAGTACCCTTTTGTGGTCTCCTTTAGTTGTTTTTATGCACGTGCGTTGGCTTGTCTTATGACCTCATATACATATGTATGTATGTACGCCTATAATGTGCAATAACAATGCGCTTATAATAATACTTCAATCAACATTCAATTGAGGTGTTAAATGCGCATTTTGTTTCAGCTATTGTTTGTTGTTGTTACTGTCGTCGGGCGTAGTGACAAAGCAAATACGAAATCAGCGGGTAAATATCATATACGCTGCTCTGGCGCTGATTTCACTATGAATTTGTCTAATAAAACATAAAAAAAACCTAATAAAAACATAAACATGAGTAAATATGATAATTTTTAGGGTTATAATGAGGGGAGGGAGTTTACCAAAGTATTTTCTTTATTGAATTCTAATAGCTTTGCGTGAATCCCAGTTGTATTCTAATGTAAGGTAATCATAAAGTGCTGGAAACTTTGTACGCTGTGCCATTCATTTTGTTTGGTTGAACAAATTCTAATGCTCGATCATATTCTGAAATCTACGGTCACAGGACAATATACACGTAAGTATGGGGCGAACCTGTGAAGCGGCCTCCTTAGAATTTAAGCAAAAGGCGAAAATATTGGTGTTTCGGATATAAAGAGCGGTGATCCCATTTTTAACTTTCGATTTCAAAATTCACTTCCTGTTGCGTCTATCCCTTAATTGGAGCGTTGAGTAACTATCAAAAATACTCATGGCCATACCATTTGCAAGGGACATACCACAATAACGCGGCGTCAATGTTGAACAAATGGAATTTTCAATGACGAAGAGGAATAGAAAATGGGAGAAAAACTTTTCAAATAATTGGTATTTTGCAAATAAAATGATAAATATTCACTGAAAAATTAATTCAACTGCGCGTTACTACTCACTGGTATAAGGAAACGCAACGCCGAACGCTCCAACTTAGATATGTCGGTACGGTGAACGGACGTACTCTCATTCTCACCAATTAATCCATTTCCTTATCGATAAATACCCAACCCTTATTACTCTCGTTCTTCTTTCTTCACACTCTTATTTTCTGCCACACATTTCGTTTATCGTTTTGCCTATTCACAAAATTGCTGTATTTTAATTTTTTGCTTAAATTTTCTTTCGATTTAAGCGATGATTAAATTTTCGAAATTTCCTGGAGAAATGGTTTCCTCAGAAAATATGAATACTTCAATAAATAACTAATTTAAAAATGCTCAAAACATGTTCTGTAAATATCAGAATTTTACTAGGAAAACATTTAGGGACCAAACTCTAATACAACAAAACTTTTTTATCCTTTTATTTCTTAAGTTACTCACAGCAAAGGATTCACAAGGCAAATTCACGCGCGGCAATAGCAACATACAAAAACAATAACCCAAAAAAAGTCAAAAGCGAAAATCTTTCAATGTATTTTGTTTGTCTAATTTGTTGAAATGGGAGGAAGAACCAGCAACCATATGATCTGACACAGCGGTTCCAATTCTCAAAAATTTATTTGTGTGTGAAACTCGAAGCATGAATTATGTGATTTAAATTCAAATCCATTGGGAAATTCATAATAGAAGAATTCGTTAAGATAGCTGCACTTCGAAATTTAGGGTTTAGTGCTCTGTGTTTGCTCAGAAATCCTTGCTCTCTCCACTTATAAAATTTCCAACTTGGAGATGATTTAATTATTTTGGACGGCTGAGCCTATTAAAATATTTGTTTCAAGCCCTTTTTCGAATGGAGCAGAAGTGAGAAAACGATTTGCTAGTTGGATAAATATAATAGAAAGAGTTCACATTTTTTACTTGTTTTCGAAACTTAGGCTTATAGATTTTCGCCACTGTATGCGAAACGTACATGATTTGGGACCATGACCAAGAAAGACCCAAAGAACTGCGGCGTCGATAAGCTGACCGAATTGGGATAGTAATGAACTAATCAACTCTGCGCGTCGTTATCGATTTCTAGCAGATATCTTCTTCGCTCATCAAGTTCCTTCCGTTAAGTTAGAGTCTGTTCAAAAACAATTTTTACTTTTTGAATTGAGATCCGATGGAAGTCTACGATAAATCTTCCTTACCATACCAAGCGTTTAAAGTTTCTAAATCTGCCTACTGACGCAAGTCGTTGAGAAATGTTAGGCACATTTTTCATAGTGACACTTCTTAATGGATCAATCTGTAGTTCATGACTCTTATCTGAGGTAAATTTTAATGTTTCAACTCGGCAGTTTACGCCTTTACTGTTAATGACATGTAAAACAAATTTTGAATTGAACGAACCTTTTCGCCGATTGCGTCACAATTTTAATTTTCATTCCAGCACCTTTGATCTCTCAGACTCACTTTTTAGCATCAAAATAAAACAATTCTTACTTCTCTCAACAATTAAATTTTAAAGTTTCCATAAATACTAAATTACTGCTGCTGAACAAACGCTTCCCAACCGTAACTCGGCATATTTTGTACGTTAAAGGATGTCGCCTCACGCGTCGGTTGGCCAGGTTGGGCTTATTATTATTATTATTATTATAGCATAGCTTGCATTTCTAGGTATCATTAATATCCTAATCGTAAGAGACACCAAGTGGTTTGAGCATCTGGAAAGATGAGAGACATCTACTTTGTAGAACCAACATAGGCATCACCAAGAGATCAGTGTTCCGTGCTCGAATAAGCTGTTTCACTAACACACTGACTAATATATCAATATATTTAGCGGTTAGATTGAATTTATTTATTGTTTGGAATGTTTAATCGAGCGAAACGACTTTTAACGTAAAAATATGATTTTTATAATGAATTTGCTCTGCTCGAAAAAACAGATATAGATGTAGATATGGCAAATCCTGCCAGATCCTCATCTTCTTAATTTAATTTCATTTTTGCGGGCGAATCTCTTACCTTTCTCATAGTTTATTACAATTTACTTAAGTTAAAATACAACAGCCATGAAAGGCATACACTCGATGAAGTTCGCTATAAGGAGTGGGAAAATAAAATAAAATTAGCGATTTTTGAATATCTGAAGATTAAAAAAAATATGAAAATTTTCCACATATTTTTAATTATAATATGTTTTTTTTTTTATTAAAAGAAGGAAGCACGGAGAGCCCGAAAGACGTTTAATGTCAGAGAGCTGTGAAGCCGACTGCGATGTGTCTGCATTTTTGTCAGCAAACTTAAATGGGCTTAGGGAATATGTTTGAAATAATGTAGTTATTATTTTTCGTGATTCGAGAAGCCATTGCTATGAAAAATGTTGATTTTTCTATCAAATAGTTTTATATCTCGACAGTTGGAGTCCAACCCGTTAAGTTGCAAATTTTAAGCAGCATTTTTGTCAGTTTTCTGTGGTTTTGGGCCTAACGTAGAACAGCAAAATTGCCAAATTTAGGACGAAGACTAACCTAAGGAGATTCAAGAGCTGCCATTTAATCCAAAAAGAAAAACGGTTCGATATAGTTTGGAGTCCGGTGGAAGCAGCGGTCCATATTTCTCCAAAAATGATGCCGGTGAGAAGGTAACCGTTAATGGCGAGAGTTAGCGCCCCGTCGAAACAGCTCGTTTCCTGGACTTCCCATTAGATGACATCGGCGACATAGATTAATCAAACCTGTATCTAAGCGGGCATGGCCAGCCGCTACAACAACAACAACAATAACAACAACAACAACAGTTAGCGCGCCATGATTATTGCCTATTGCATGCCTAAAGTTTAAGCTCCTGATCTCAGCGACAATACGACGCCTTTTAATCCACATCGCATCGCATCTGCAAAGAGCAGATAATTTCACGTTTTCGTGCGGTCGATTGGCCACCAAAATCGCGTGTTACCACACATATCCTGTGGGGATATGTTTATGCGGACAACTCCGCTTCGATTCAGGCTTTGGAGCAAAATATTACGCATGACATTCGCCAGTTACCAGTCGAACGAGTCATCAGAAATTGGACGCAGCGTATGGACCATCTGAGACGTAGCCGCGACCAACATTTGAAAGAGATAATCTTCAAGAAAGAAAAGCCAAAGAATGTTCTTTCGAATTATAATAAACACTCCCCGTTGAATTTGAATTTTTTGTGATTTTTCTTTAAAAAAAAATAGGGAACCTAGATATATAGCTCCTATACAGATGTGTAGTAAATAATCCTTTAAAAAAATCCTCTAAGGCTATGAAATTTTGGTATTAAAAAAAATCGAAAATCGAAAATCGTAGAAAACAGAGGACAATATCGTTTAGCCGCTGTGCAACCGGCACGCCCGAAAACTATCAATCACAGGTCCCTACTAAATAAATACATATGCACTCGTGTGTATGTACGTACGGTTGTAAAATAAATTTATGGAAAAAAATCCGTGAATTACCTCATCACACTATAAAATCTGCTAATAATTCGCTGCATAGTTGTGCCCATACAAGCCATAAATGTTAAACCATGAGAATACATTGTCGTCATTACACACATACATAGATACAATGTATGTGGGTATTATACATTCACGGTGCATGTCGCATGACGAAGCGGTTGCAGCCATTCCCACTACCAATCGCCAGATACCGTTGTTACGAGTAGCTTATGGCAAATGGAATTTGTGTGGCCGCAGCGTTGCCAAGTACACATAATTATTAGCTTATCAGAGCGTTTGTGAGATTACAGCGGTGGCTAAGTAAATAAACACAGTAGCTAATTTCGCTTGATGACACGATCATAAATGGTGCGTTTCGTGGAGATTACGCTTGTCATAATTTACACACTCCAACGACCAGCGAGATACTCGTAATACAATATGTAAGCAAGTTTGTATGTATGTATTTACGTAGGTATCTTTGTTGTTTACTGTTATTTGCGTTGAAGCGCGTAAGCGCACTTGAAACGGGCGTGTGAACTGAAACGCTCAAGTACAGCTGTTTAACAGGATTCGCCTGCTAATTGCAAAGCGTTATCGCGTTTAATAAACGAGATTGATTTGTAACAGTTATATATGAGTACATGAAAAACATAGAGAACAACAACAAATGAAACAAAAACAAACAAAAAATAAACAAAAAACCACAAGTGTCTGCTGGAGTTAGCTTTGTTGACTGGTGGTTGAATTTGATGGCTCTTTTCGGTGAATGTATGTATGTCTGTATATATGTATGTGACTTTGTTTTACCTATGACGCGCGCAGTTAGCACTAGAGGGTGCAACGCCTAAAATCCTCGCAATTTATTGTCGCTACTTAATGCTTTGATATAAATTTATAAATAAGTATGCTATTGTGTGTGTGTGTGTGTGTGTATGTATGCCATGTTAAAATGTACAAATGTAAATAAATATGAAATTATTGTACATTGCGCATTAACTTGGCCGTGGAGTGATTTGTTAGCTTTGTCCATATGTAAATGTATATATATATATACATATGTACGTATGTATGCATGTCAATAAATCGGAAATCAGTAATCAGAAAATAACATTCATCAATACGCACGACAGGCAACCATTAATATTTCAAATCAATATTTATTTTGTCCAAATAGGAAAATACAGGTGAACAAAAGTACAATTTTTCCTATATTCACACATACATACATACAAACGTATATGTATATATATGCTTGCATATACTACATAAATCAGTACTCAAATACGTCAGCAGTTTGGCAGTGTTACAACTAGTGACCGACTTTTCTCATCAAATTCAATAAGAATTATCAATAAATTTCAGGATTTACCTTAGTTTTGCTGCCACCAATCGAGCCAGGTCGTATGGAGCCTGTTTCATAGAAGCGCGTTAGTATTTTTGATACGCAACCTGTTTGGAAAAAATACAAAGGAAATGAAATTATAGCAATTTTATAGGTGTATAAAATGTTAAAAGATAAATAAAAAAGAAATTATAAAATTTTTTGATATTGGCTTACTATTATTCTTTGTTAAGCTTTTATTTGCCTTTGCATGTACTGTACTAGTCTACAAAGCTTCTAGTTCATACGAATTTCGCTTGTATGGTTCAAGTTTTTTAAAAAATATTTCCTTCAGCCGTAGAGTTGAGTTGAGTTCATGCGGCTCCTGCTACCAGCACAACTTAGGACAATAAGCGCATTGTGATACAGCTGAGGCTACCGCCTTCACCTTCTCAGCTGATCAAGCCATTTCGGGTCCCATATAAAGGCAACGAGATTTCCAATATTTGCTGCGGCTATCTCAGCGAGACAGTCGAAGAAATGTTTTCCAAGGAGCTTGTGTCGCGCTGATGTCAAGGCTACACAGTTAGTGCCCGATGGTCTCTTCCTCTTCGTTGACTCTGCAGCTGCGGCAAAAGTCAGTCAAGAGTGATATCCCATAATTTTCCCGTGAAGCCCCATTAAACAATGTCCAGTTATTGTGGAGAACCGGTCTAGAAGGATAAAATGTTTTGATTTTTTCGCGCCCAGCTTCGACCTTAGCTGTTTGATTACATTATACGTGATCCCGTTCAACCAACTTGGTAAAAACCAGTTTAAGCATGTAGTTCGCCGTGAGCAAAGATAAACCAGCATCGCGTGCTTGTTTTACAGTGGGTAGAAGGATTTCTTCCCTTGCTGGTGCGTCCGCCAGCAGACAGTGCTAATTTAGTTGAGTGTTTGCTTAGGAATTTCCTACATTTTATGGTCACTTGTAATGTGGTGCCACTACATTGACTGATTGCAGCTTGACTGCCGGAGTATATTGGAACCGTTTGTCCTGCTACCGTAGGTTTATGCCAGCACTCAGCGACCTCCGTGATTGTAAAGAGTTCCACCTGGAAAATGCTACAGCGGTCTGGTGGTCTCATGATTGTATGCAATGAGAGCATGGGAGTATTAATTCCGCGGCCCACTTTTCCATCAAGCCTCGAGCCAACTGTGATGGCGGTCAAGGTGGCTATGGCTCCCTGTTTGGGGGTGTTGATAGTTCTCACCCCCGCATCTTTTAGGGATACTCGTAACGAAGAGATGCACAAATCCAGTACACGATACTTGATCTTTGACCCTATCTTTTTCCTATCGTCGTTTTGCAGGCGCAAAGTGCAGTTGTAGCTTTACTTGACCTTTCTGCCGTGTTCCGGCTTCAGTTAAGCTTGCTATTCACGATTATGCCGAGCTCCACGCCCTTTTCAATATCAATTTACGCTTTTAGATACTTTTTAGACAGATTTCTTCTACCTAAAACCACATATCCTAAAACCACATATCCGAGACTAAATAAACCTTACTTTCCAGCTATTGAAAGTCTGATCGAGCTGAATATTTTAAGGAATTCAGTGATGGTCTTTAAAAGTTTAAAAATAATGGTCATTACGGTATAAATACCCGACTATTTTGGGAGCTATTGGATTTTAGTTTCCTCTTATAACAAGCGTAAATAAATCCGCCTCTAAGCCGCAGATGGAACCTTAAGCAATGTTCCCAGAAGTTTCGTTTTAATTTGCTTAACTTAATAATATTATAACAAAAGAGTTTCTACTCACCATGTGAAACCAACAATTGTCGCGATATATCGCATGGACGCACACCACAAAGCGCTAACTGTACGATACGATGACGCACGCAATCGGGCAGTGGTCGGCCATTGACAAAAACGCCGCCCAATTGATTAACACCAGCTTGACCTGAGCAGTTGCGGAAAAGAGAAGGTGTTTCGAAAACATTTTAGAATGTACAAAAAAGTATTTAAATAGAAATACTAATCATATTTACTACTAAATTAATTTAATTTAAAAACACATTTCCGAGTTCTCGCATGGAAGCAGTATTTTTACGAGGACTTGATAGCGTTTAAAAAAATTAAAATTCTTTAAAAGTAAATAAAAAATAATAAAAATAAATAAAAAATAATAAAAATAAATAAAATAAATAAATAATAAAAATATACAATATTCCATTAAATTTGCAAATATGGCTTTCTGATACCAAAATAAAACGAAGCTTGGCATTTTTATGATAAGACTTGATTGCAAATTAAAATTATCCATTAGCCGCGAAAAATTCATTTATTTCTAAAGGGTGATTTCTTAGCTATTCTTCCAGCTTCTTGGAAAAATACCTGGCCCACGTTTCGTGTTTTGTTTCACTGTCAAAAATCTTCAGTTCGGTCTGTAATTTAACCATCAATCGTCTTACAAACGAACAACGCTTACAAATTATTATCAAAATGCTTGCTCTGTTAAGAAAGTTCATCGCGCGCTTCTTCCATTTTATGGTCAGTTTAATCGACCCACTGAAGCAGCTCATGATTTAATTTTGCACCAAATTTACATTGTTGGACTTTATAGCACCAACACGCTTGCTTAGAGTGCGAACTGAAGAATGTTCGCAGCAATTGGGCCTCAACCACAGTCAACAACGTGGAAAATTTTGCAGAAAGATTTAGGTGTGAAGCCTTTCAAAACATAGCTGGTACAAGAATTGAAGCCGAACGACCTACCGATTATGCAGTGAAGATCAGCCAGAAGCATTGCAGAAAAATACACAGTTTAGTGCGGTTTATGGGCTAGTGGCATTACTGGACTGTACTTTTTCGAAGATGATGCGAATCGTAACGTCACTGAGAATGGTGAGCGCTGAGCGCTACCGTGAGATGACATCAAACTTGTAAGAGCTTGACTTGCTTGATGTGTGGTTTCAACAAGACTGTGCCACATGCCGCATAGCACACGTAACAATGGACTTATTGAGAGGCGAGTTCGGCGAACATTTTATTTCACGTTGGGAATCGGTTAATTGAACGCTTAAATCGTGCGATTAAATGCCTTTTGGCTGTTTTTTGTGGGGCTATGTTAAGTCTTACGTCTATACAGATAACCCTGCTTCAACTGACGCATTTAAGGACAACATTAAAGCCTTTATTCATGAGATACCGGCCAAAATGTTGGAAAGAGTATGCCAAAATCGGATTAAGCGGTTGGACCATTTGAGACGCATCAAATAATTTCCAACATTAAACCATATGGACCGTACCATAAATTTCTATAAAGATTTTATGCATTTTTAAGAATTTTGTGCGTTTTTTTTTTGAAAAACATTCCTATAGCTCTTCAAAAATCACCGTCTATTACAGCTGCCGTTGAATAGGTACAACAAATTAAATTCGTTTTGAAAGCATTGAAAATGTCAAATTCGCTCATTTGAATATACAAAGTTTTTCAATGATTTTTTTTTTGGAATAACTACTAAGCGACGTTATTGAAAGAAATAATTAATTATGGTTAATTTTTCAAAAAAAAAAAAAAAAAAAAAAATCAATTAATTTAGTGGTGCTCTGTTGGCCATTGCGCTGTGGTAGCGAGCGCACGTCAGCGTTGTTGATAAGCCAATTTCTTCATGGCAGATTTAGAAAGAGATTGCGCGCGCGATAAGCAAATGATAAACAATTGATACAAAATAGTGAATATCAAAAAAATATAAATATATATAGAAAAAATAAGCAAAAGCACTAAAAACGTTGAGGTTGATGGTAGGCAAGCAAGAATGGAGTTGTTTATTTTATATGAAAATTAACTAATTTTCAACTGATTCCTTAACTGATAAAACTATTAACGATTTTGACGTCAATACAAAGAATGAGTATGTACATATTTACCCACATACCACTATACACGTATGTATTCGTTGACTGATAATATTATCTTATTCCTAAAAACCGTTATCCAAAACAAATTTGTAAGTATTATGTTAATAGTTTGAAATGAGTTGAGATAAAAATCTGACGTTTAACCTCAACTGGTGATGGCTACAGAGAAAGAGAGAGAGAAAGAGAGAGAGAGAGGGAGAGAGAGAGAGAGAGAGAGAGAGAGAGAGAGAGAGAAGGAAACAGCACAAAGCACACATGATGGCAGACAAGACACATTCTTCTAAATCTACAAACCGCCAGAGACCTAACAGCTACAGACCTCCGCTATCTGCGAAGTAATTTGTTGAAAGAGCGGAGAAAGCGCGTTAATTGCGCTTAATTGTCGATGATTCACGTCTCGTGTCATATGTCATGTCATGCCTATCAGCGCATTATCAACACTTATTCTTGGCTTTTGCTACATTGGGGAGATAATACTTTGCTTTGTGATGGTAGATCTCCATCTTGAATTATGATTTGGCTACCAAAATTTCAATTTCTTTTTCATGGTGATTTTATTTGTGATTAGCGCCAAAAACTATGAGATTACATTGTATATTTTTGAATGTATTTCTTTGTTTAGTTTTTAAAATACATTAAATCAATTTACTCGAAACATTGGTGTAGCTTAATTAATGCTCTGCGAAGATTTTGTACTCAGTTAGACTGATATAACTTTTTGTTGTTGGCTCCGTCGATGGAACTACCAACCAATATTGAAATCGGCCGCAAGAGCCGAGTGGTTAGCAGTGCGAAGGCTGCAGCGGGAATTTTGGTCAGATCTTTAGGTTTTAATAATAAAAAATTAGCAGATAACGTGCAGTCCCTATTTGCTGGAAAAACATCAATACACACACAAAAAAAATGGAGCAGGAGCTATGCCAATATCGTTTCAGAGTTATAAAGCACCATTTACATTGTATATAAAGCAGAAACCGAAATCTCTTAAATCTTTAGGAGTTGAATTTTAAAAACTCAATAAAGTCATATTTATGTATCTGTATAGAAAAAGAAGCTAGACGCAGTGTAGATCTTTTGGTTTAAACGTAATATGATTCCAGGAATTAAATATTGCCAAAGACAGAAAGAAAGAGTCGTCAGTGCCGGTTAAAGCAATCAACACTTCCTATTTCCCTACCTATATTGTCGGCTGTAGAGCGGACATGAGTAGACAACATGGTCCAGCTAAAGAAGGGAGGTCCGAAAATTGGTAGAGTATCGTAAAATATAGTATTTTCTATTGTAAAGAGAAGCTGCAAGCAAGGCAAACATGTTAACTCCCCTTAATCCGCACTTCTACAGGAGATGAAGTAGAGCTAAGCAAAGGCTTTAGGATCATGGTTCAAGCCTATCCAATCCAATTGCCAACTTTGGTTAATAGAAATTTCTTGCCTTCCGGAGGTGACTCTATGGTAAATATCACAATGCAATAAAAAAATCAGCGTAAGTAGTTATAAAGCATGAACTATTTTTTTTTTTGCGGATTTTTATAATAGACCTGCATCTGCTTATTGTTCAGGGCGCTTTCACGCTTAATCACAGATGGAAAATGTGGACCCAGATTACTGCTGAAGTATTTATGGAGGCAGGACTTTTTATTAAATATTCCGGCTAATTGGATAATTTATAAAACAGTTCAGAAAGAGATAAGTTGTTTTAGAAAGGGTGAAACTCTGATTGATATTCTAGTATTATACATTTCATTACTATCGCTCATATGAACTCCTCCGTCGACGATGTCTTTCTATTTAATTTCACCCGCAAAGCAATTTTGAAGCACGAAGTCTCTTTTAAATGAACTCACTTGCCACTTACACAGTAGTCTTTGCAGAAAATCGCCATGTGGAGCTCCCGAGTGAGTTGCGCAACGCATCGCCTCAGTAAGGCAATTTATGTATGAATATATGAATTTAACGCGTTTGAGGAGCAGAAGGAGGAGGAGCTGCACACGAGTGTGTCTATGTATGTGTGTGTGTGTGTGTTCGTGTGGAGATCCGTGAGCAAGACAGCTGCCCCACTTAGGCTGTGCGAGCAAAAGGCAGCAAAAGGGGAGTGTCTGCTTGGTGTGAAGTAACTTAAATACTTCCTGTCTTCGTTTAATGTTTTACGGTTATTTTTGCTTATACAAAATTTTTTTTCGTACACTTAGCTACCTATAAATTTTGCTGCTTATACGAAAATATATATGTATAACTATATAAGTATTTCTTATATATACATATATATATATATTTTTTGGTGTATTCCAACCATTTTATCGCTCGAGCTATACTTTTAAGAGCTTGCCGACTGTTTGTTGTTTTTATATATACATATATAAGCACATACTTATTATACATATATTTCCTTAAATAAAGATAATAGTCGTAAAGTAGAGTACAAAAACAAGTAAAATACTTCATACACAATACATACATATATATGCATAATATATTTTTTTCAGTTCATCAGCTTCAGCGCTGGACGTGCATATTTTTATTACTATTTTACCAACGGATGACCGACGGGTAACTACACAGTGGTCAGCACACTAATATGTGTATGTGAATATATACATACATACATATGTCAGTATCCCCCAACGAACGGCGTTTCTTGGCGTTGAATTTTATTACGCTCGCCAAACCAATTTCGTTGATCTCGCTTCAGGATCGTACTGCACTGACCGCTGCAGTGCAATAATTTACTAAACCACTACAATAACAACAACAATTACACTAACAACAGCAGTGGCAATGCACACCAAAAAATAAATAATAATACACGCCTTATCGGCATACAACAAATAAAACTAAGACACATATCTCGAGTATATGCAAACTTATATGCATACATATACTCATATGTACGAGTATAATACACGCACTCGTGAAGTCAGCAGTGAAAATAACCGTTTTGTTCCACACCGTAATGACATGTGAAGAATGCGCTGCGCATCAATAAAACTAATAACCGTGAAAGCAAATTTTAAGGGGTTTCAACTTCCACTTTAACTTCAGCTCGCACTTCCACGGTGTTTTTGCGTACGTGCGTTTTGTCTTTAAATTGCGAAAAAAGAAGGAAACCTTTAAATTCATATTATGGAATTTCGCAAACGTAAAGGAAGTAATATAAAATTAACACCTTTTCCTTAAGCTTTGTGTTGTGGGCGCAATTTGGTTTGAAAGCTGGCTGGTGTAGGGGTATGTGCAGTTGGGCACCTCGAAACGATGAATATGCGAAGCAGAATTTTTTTTTTCTCAACAAAAAATTGTTTTCAAATAGAAGAAAAGGTGTGTATTATGGTTTTGAGTGAGAATAATATAAAACCAATTTTTATTTCATACGTGAGCGCCGCCTATTGCTCATGGGAATTCCGGCAAATGAGGGTTTCAAAGCAGTAAAATACTTCTTTCTGTCTCTTTGGTTAATGTAAAAATAAAAAAATTAAATACACAAATAATGAAAGGAGTTACACCAACCATGAAATGTCTACTAAAATTAATTTAAATTATAATGAAATAATTCATGCCAAGAATTAAATGAAAGAAAAAATGTCTGCTTGATTGGCAGCAAATGTCAGTTTTGAAAATAATTTTGGTATTAAATATATATTTAATTGGCCGCTGAAGCGTTTTTCGGTTGAGCTCCTCCTTCAATTTGCAGTTTGATATTTTCCCAACCGCTGGCCGGAGGACCTACAGCTGATGCTTTCACTCGACGGAAGAGGGTTTGACATCCCCTGTTGAGGGGTGACTGCAACTAGAAAATTTCACTTAAGTTTTTTTTTAATTTGAATAAAATTTCAATAATTTTTAGGTTGGTCCGAACAGGACTCGAACATTGACCTTTTAAGCGGCCGTACGCATTGCTCATCAATCGCGGCTGCCATGCTTCTGTAATTTGTAGATGACTTGCAAATCTATAAGAAATTGAAGTTAGGTTAGGCAGGTAGGTGGCTTAGGCCAGAGTACCCCCTTAGAGATACACAATATTGACCAAATCATTTCACTCCTCTGTGCAACATGAGCTGAATTTCTATGAACTGAATTTCTATCTGTGATTCACTGCTGAATGGAAACAAAGCCGAATAATTTCTAAAGCGGTTAATGAGTGCTGGCGAAAAAAGGATTAAGGTTGCTGTACGTAAAATGAAAGTGGTCAAGTTCGGAAAGCAGTGAGTCCGCACAAATGGTATCCAAGCAAGAATTGACGGTCAGAAAGGTTTTCTTGTGTGTTTGGTGGAATTGGCAAGCATTATGTAGTGCTCCACTGTGGCCAAACTCTTGATTCGGACAACCGGGCCGAGTAAAGTGTTCTATTGTCCAGCTTTGTGTTTAATCAAGACAACGCCAGACAATCGATAACAGTGCCTCAGGTTCCGAGGGCTTAGTGGGGAGGCTCAAATACATAATACACCTTATAATCCGGACCTAGCACCAAGTGATTACCATCCGCTCTTGTTAATGGCGAATTATTTGAAATTTAAAACTTTGTTGTGCTGAACGAGGTATTGAGCGAACACCGGGCTCCTCTCAATGCTAAAAGATGGAAGAGCATCGTCTAGTGCAAACAAAAATTACTGGGCTGACTGAAAAACAACAACGTTGTAAAGGATATGAATTCCCAACTTGGGTTACTCAAATGTAGGAAGAGCCTCTTTGTGAGATCATATGTTTCCCACAAGATCAAATATTTCGTGGAATAAAATAAATAATCAGCGCATTTGATTTTCCCAGTTAAGCGTAAAATAAAGTCCCAAGTTACGAACTTTAATTGTAATACAAACATATGTAAGCACAATTTATATATACATATATATATCACTGTGATTTTTATTACTTTTCCATTGAAACATTTATTTTCCTACGCTGCTCAACGAAAGACAATCGATCAATCAAGCCATCAATTAAATACTACGTTACAAAACTAAAAAGATGAAGAAAAAATAAAGCTTTAGTGGGGCACATCTTCTTCTGCCTTTCGAAAGTGATAACAAACAAATTGGAAGCGTGTAAGTTACTTGAGCGCAAAACAAAACGCCGATGGTGGCCTCAAGCAAATCAACACAAAATATTTAAAATGAAAATTAAAAGTAAACGCAAAGAAAACCAAATCTTCATTGGTATACAAAATTTAAGAGACGGCATAAAATGGTAGATAAAACGAAATTGTCCAAGGGGGAAGAGTAGAAGATAAGACTTTGCATGTTCAACTAAATTTTAATTTAGACAATTTTAATTGACATTAAATCAAGCAGAAAACGGCGCAAGTTTCAAATTTCAATACTAATTTTGTGCGCCTCACGAATTCAAAACAATGCTACAACAACAAATGTGAGACAGAAAAATGTCTGGAGAGTGGTTGTTAAAATACAGCTCGAACAACAATAAGAAATGGTGGCATAAAATACAACACGTTTTGTATTTCATGCTTTGAATAATTTTTTATTTTTTTCTTCCGTTTTTTTTTTTTTTTTTTTTTTTTTTTTTTTTTTTTTGAAGAAACGGTTTAATTAAAACAACGAAAGGCAAACGCTGCTCACAATTATCACATTGACGATTTCATCGCCGACAACGATGCGTAGCGAATGACATCGAAAGAGTTAAGCCACAAACTTGTTGTGTCAAAATTTTAATTATTTTTATCAATTATTTCTTGTAATGCGATTTTGCATGGTGAATTAGGTTGAGTCTTGTTTTTTTTTTGTAATAATTTAAATTTTTATTTGATTGAATATTAAATGATTTTATTAAAAAAAATATATATATGTTGAATGTTTCATATTAGTAAAAAATAGTTGTTTATGGGGTATGAAAATATTATAAATTATAATATTAAAAAAAAAGAAGAGAATTCTAATTTTATTTGCTTATAAATATTTTTTTTTTACATAGGAACGAGAGAGCTGTACTTATATATTCAGCGAGCGTGATTTCATGCGCGGATTCTCGAAAATTTAAGTTTTTTACAAACGTTCTATAACAGAGGTTAGTGCTAAGTAAGTGGTATTGTTGTAATAATAATACCAAGTTTGTGTTCAATTTTCCAGTCCAAACAGAACATTAATTTTTGGTACATTTAACAAAATTAGCGTTTCTTAGCCTGTTAGAGAACGTAAATTCTCTTCTTTAGTGTAATTTGTGTTAAAATCCTTTTGAGCCATTTTTTTAAGGTGTAAGAAGGTATAATCTCTCTCCATATATAAGAATTTGTTCTAAATGATTGACGGAGCAACACAAGCCAATGATCGTATTGACCATGCCTATGATCGTATTGACCATGCCTGGAAAGGTCTATACGATCATAGGCATGGGTTGCTCACTGTGGATTTTTTTTGAATTTTTTTGTTAATTCGGTTTTCATAAAATTTTGTATTTGGATAGCTCTTTAAGGAGATTGACATTTCAAGTTAACTTGAGGCCAATTTATTCGAAGCATTTTTATTTCTCATTTGATTTTTAGAAATATGGCTCAGAAGTCCCTTTGGGCTTAAATTAATATGGTGAATACCTTTTTCCCGCGAAGTCGACCTGAGTTTGATCTATTTATATTTGAAATAAGCATATTTATGGTTTCATAAACATTAAAATATTTGTAGTGAGAAATGAAGATCTAACAGAAGGAATACCTTTAAACCTGAAAGCGATTCTACGGTCTGATTTTACTTTATTTGTGGAACACAGATGATTCTTTGTCTATTTCAATATATAAAAAAAATTTTTCGGGATCGACCTATCTGAAAGGATCACGTTTCTGATTTGCTTTACCTGAAATTTGAAACACAGGCTAATATGTGGCAAATATGTGGCAAATATTTCTTTTTTTCCATACGTTTGCTTAGTAACATAAAAATCAATTAATCATTTAATAACAGCCATCTTAGAATTCCATGTGTACGAAGTCGCGCGCAAGCTTTTGTCATTTATAAGAGCGTAAATGGATATTGATATTATCGGTTTCAACAACTATACCGTCAATTTTGTTCTCCTCAACTCCAAAAGATGGTTCATTCGTGACTCAGCTTCCACGTCGGTATTTATAGTCTTAACTTTATAGTCGTAAATAATTTCGCCCATCTAGGAACCAAAAACAAGACCGACAACATTGTCAGCCTTGAAATTTAACTCATAATTATGTTTGTAAAAACGCGTCCTGATACATGATTAGTCGGCGTTGGGGTTTTTTGGAGAAAGATTTTGAAAAAGATTTATGGTGCTTTGGGAGGAAAGACAAACCACTTATCTTTTTTTGAGAGATTCGAAGGAAAAAAAATTCCTACAAATGGCGCCCCGTGGCTAAAAAAGAAACGAGCGTTGGCTACGCCAGTAAAGAGTAAAAAGTTCTTAAATGAAATATTGAAGAAAAAATCTCCAATACGTAGTGTCAAAAATTTCTTTAAAATTTTGTTTAATAAAAATTTAAAATTTTTTATTGATTAAAATCAATTGTTAAATATTGCACTTTTTTTGATCTTCACAAAAATGATTTAAAAATAATGGTTAATAAAAAGCGATTGTGCTAGATCAGTGGACGCATAATTTTTTTATAACGAAAAAGAATAAAAAATGTAATACCTTAAAAAAATTTATAAAAATCAATATTAATCTGCATTTTTTTCAGATCTTTTTAAGACTCATATTTGAGATTTCATTTTTCAATACCTCCAATACTTAGCACTATTATGAGATTCAAATTATTTTTATTTTTCTATGCATCTAAATTTTCTAAAAATATCGAAGAGAAAATTATTGAAAAGTTGTGTCTTTTGCTTATTGTTTCAATTTTTTTTTATCTAATGAATATGAGCAACACTTGTATTATTCAAGAAATTTTAGATATCTTTTTATCTCTGTTAAAAAAAAATTTTAAACTTAATAATATACAATAATAATATTAAACACTTAATTTATTAATTTATTTACCTGTATGCGGCATATTTCGCGTATTTATTCCCAACGGTATCTCCGTCCAGCGGCTAATATTTCTGCTCGCACTGCCGCCGCTAACTGCAGCTCCCGCACCAACACCTGCAGCGGCGCCACCACCTCCACGTCCACGTCTGTGCACGGTTGTTTGCGTCAACGCGTCGGCGCAGCTGATTGACAGCAACGGTGTATCCAGCGTTTTAATTATAACTCACTCACTTGCACGCCACCAACACTAGTTTCAGCAGCAGCAGCAGCAGCAATAAAGCAAGGAACGCTGCTATCGCAAACTACTTCTACTTCAGGCCAGAAGTTACACTTTTAATGGCCGCTTATCGCTACGCTTTAATCACGCGCGCAATTAAATTAAAGTTGAACTATTTTTTATAATTTTTTTTTTACTCTCTTTCTACACTGATTTCTGCATTTGTTTTTTCTTTATGAGCGCACGAATTTTTATTCTTTCGTTTTGGTACAAATTCTTACTGTTTATTGCGAGTGTGGCGTCGTTGTTGATTTTTTGAGGATCAGGTGAACTAAGAAGAATTATGGCGATGAATGAATGTGGAAAACTGTCTGTGCGTCAAGTAGTTTATCTTTAAATTTGCTGGGATTTGAATTAGACACAAACGTCTGTATTTATGTTTGTATGTAAGTGTTTTGCCTTCTGTTATTTAGTTTCGGTCAGTGGTTTGACGTTTTTATTATTTTTCCTTTTGACTCTCTCGAATGTCTCCAGCATCCAGCGCACAATTTAAGTGTGGTTAATTGCTTCTATTTGTTTTTGTGCGCCTTTAATAATGAATTTAACCCTTTTTACGCGTTCCACGAATCCGTTTAATGTGCTGTAATTAGAAATAAGTGCGTTAGTTTAGCATTATAAGATTAGAAAATATTAGAAACCTATACAAAAATGTCTACTCTAGCGTAAAGTTAGAAGAACCCTCTAGTGACTTTCGATATCTTTTCGAGTCACGAATATATTGACAACATCGTTTACTGGAATTTATCACAATAAAACAAAATAAATTTTGATAATAAATAATGATTTTAGGTGTTCTGTGTCATTACTAGCAACATAAACAATAACGTAATACAATAAATAAAATAAAAAAATTAAATTTAATAAAAAATGAGTTTAATCAAATTTAAAATGAAAATAAAAAAATTAAATTTCATTTCATTTATATTAAAAAAAATTAATATAATAAGATAAAAAATATAATAAAATTCAATAAATTGAAATAAAACAGAATTAAATTCAATATAATGAATTAAAATAAAAAAATTAATTCAGTGAAAAGTAAAACAAATAAATACATATAAATAAAAGTACAAAAACAAATAAAATATAATAACATAAAACAAATTGAAAGAAATACGTAATTTAGAATAAAATAAATGAAAACAAAATCAAATGAAACAAAATAACTTAAAATAAAAGAAATTAAACAAAATAAATAAAATTAAAAAAAAATGAAATAAAATAAAATAAAATAAAATAAAATAAAATAAAATAAAATAAAATAAAATAAAATAAAATAAAATAAAGTAAAAAAAAAATAAAATAAAATAAAATAATATAATATAAAGAAAAATATGAAATAATATAAATAAAATAACATAAAATAAAACAAAAAAAAAAATAAATTAAAAGAAAATAAAATTAAATTAAATAAAATTAAATTATATAAAATAAAATTATATAAAGTTAAATTAAATAAAAAAAGGAAATAAACTAAAAGAAAACAAAATAAAATAAAATAAATAAACCAATTTAAAATGAAATAAAGTAATTTAAAATAAATTAAAAATAATATAAAATAGATTGAAATAAAATGCATAAAAATAATAAAGAAGTTAAATTAATTGAAATTAAGCAAAAAAAAATAGTTTAGAAAAATTTAATATGTTAAACTAACGATTTATTTGACTAAAAAAAATTAAAAGTCTGTGAAATAAATTAAGCTATTAGTTGGAATAAGTATTTTGTTTTCATTTGGCAAGGGAAAGCCTGAACAAATACAATAACAAACCCAAAACCCCAAAATCATTGTTTGGACTAAATTATTTTGGACTTTGACTGATTTCCCGTGATTTGGTCAGTAAAACAATGTCGACAAGAGAACAACAACAAAATGTCGACATGGACCCTCTGCGGCAGGTTATCGTAGGTTAATTGATTTGTCATTTCGCTTAGCATATTAAGATACTAAATCTGAAATAATACAGTCATATACATATGTATGTACATATGTAATAACATGCATTTTGATGAAGGCGCACAGTTGGTGCCACAGCTTAGCAGCAATTTGGGGTCAAATAAACTGAAAACAAAACTAACCAAACACCAGCTACACTCAAAAGTATACATAAAATCCAAAATCCAAATAAAGAAAGAAGAAATGAATATATAAATTTTTGGTAAAATTTAGGTTTTTATGAATGAATAATGCCCACATTATATAAATCCGTATAATTGTATATAATTTTATTCCACTTTGCTTTGGTTTTTTTTTTTTTTTGGCTGCTGCGTTTCAAAATCCACGCTTGCGACCGTAACGCGTCTACTGTTGAGTGTAGTGTAGCGGCGTTTTCACACAGTCGCTGTGGCACTTTTCCGCTTTCAACTCTTATGCCCGTAAAATGTTAGTATAACAACAAACAACAAATTAACTGCTTTATCATAATAATTTAGATTGAAAGTTAATTTTTAACGGCGCACTACTTGGGAAGCGCTCATCATTTATCTGCAGACAAAGCATAACTAGGCATTCGCTATCACAGTATAGAGAGAGGCAGAAAATATTAACATACATATATATTTCAATTTTTTTTTATCTTCAGTTCTCATGCGACGCTGTGCATAAGTATAAATTGAAGAAGAAGAAGAAGAAGAGCGTACAATTAGAAATGAACGTCTTGCGACTAGTTTGTGGTCACTGGGCTGCTGGCAGCTTGGATCATTTATGCGTGTGTATTATGGTATACTATACTTGAATACATACATATATGCAAGCTCATTTTCGGCGAAATTTCATGTGTATATTTTTAAATAAATTATTTCTAACTTTGCGTGAATTTAAATAGCGAATAAATCGAATATTTAAAAATGCTCAGAGGTGAATTGAAAAATTCACAAAAAAAAAATATACAAAAAAAAAAAAAATAAAACAGAAACAAGACATATAACTTAATACATTATTCAAATCAAACAATTAACTTACTGAGTGATGGTTCAAATTAATTATAGACTTTCAGTGTATTTTATTATTATCATTTCAGACAGATGGTTGTTTTCGTTTTTTTTTTGTTGTTGTTTTTTTTTTTGCAAATACATATGTATAACACTAAAGTAGGTTTCTGCTTGGAATTTGTTGTTGCAGCCATAAAATTTTGATTAAAAACGAAATACCGATTTAATTAAATTTTTTTCATAATTTTTATCCAAAATTTAATAAAACTAAATGAAGAATTCCCGCAAGCCTATAAAATTAAGGAAAACCATAATTTGGAAAAATTTTAAAGAAAAGCCTAGAATTCATATCAAAAATTGTAAGAAGTGACCCTACTAACCTCCAAAAAAAATAGTTTACCGAAGACCGAGACTCGAATGAGTGCTTCGTTCTGCCTTTGGGTTTATTTTGTCGAGGAATTTATTTTAAGGGCCGTCAATAAAAAAAAATCAATTAATATTGCTATTTGTCTATTTATGCCCAACAACTTTGATTTATAAATATTTTTTTTTTTTAAATAAATAAAAAAAGTTTAAAAAAAACACGTTCTTCTGGCGAAATTTGACCATAACGCGGTGAAGAAGCCAAGTTTGTGGGAAAACAGCACAGATTTGGCACCACAATAACGGATGGTTCTCGGAAGACTAACATTTTTAAGAAATGTATACGTACTTTAGGATCAAAATTATATATTTTTAATAAGCGAGAAAATATTTGTGTTCCTTTATTCATCCGGCTAATGATGGAGTAGCACTTCATTCATATGGCAACCTCGCTTGGTCCCACAAGTAGCCCATTTTGTGCTGTCTGTCGACGCAATTTTTCAACAAATTTTCGATTGTGCGATCCTCAATGCCTGCAATGGTGTTTTCGTTTTCTTCTTTGAAGTCTTGAACGTCTCTGGTTTGTTGGTGTAACACTTACTTCAGCGGTTCCTCACACAAAAAGAGTCGTAACGAAGGTGAATGGCGACCATAATTTTGATTGTCACCATGAAAAATTTACAATATTTGCAGTTGCGTTTGAGGACTCACAGTTTTTTGCAGATTTTAATATTTATTTCCCGAATTTTATTCAGGCATAAATTTGGCTATTTTGTAGACCATAATGCTTGAATAATACTGAATATTGGATATATGGGGAATGCCTTTGAAGATATCAAAATTCAAATAAGCAGTTTAAAATGAAGCTCTAGATGGTTCACCCTATATATTCAGAGAAATTGCTTTTGCATTGCTTAATAAATGTATTTTTTAAGGTAATTTGAAATGTCAACAATTCTTTTTTGAGCTTTCTGACTGACCAATGAACGAGGTTGATATACAAAAATATTTATATTTTATTTTTCAAGGCACTGGCATTTATTTTAGAAATTTTATGATAATTCTAGAGAGAAAAAAATTGTATTCAATACAAAGCATTGTTCAAAAAAATATTTTTTAATCTTCAAAAATTGCCTTTAGCTGTCAATGTTCCAATTTGGTATAAAATGATTAAATATATTCTTTTGAGAAATATAATATATAAATAAATATATAAATACAAATTTATGCTGATCATTTTGTAAGTATGAGGTCCACAGTTTAAACACTTTTTCACACCAAGCTTAGCAATTTTTAGCACCTTCTTAAGTAGCTAATGACGCTATTTTTACAAAAATACAATAACTACAATGAGCTTATAGATCGCCTTAATATTCTAGCTTGGACAGAGGTACATAACAAATAAACGCCTACATAAAACCAGCTAATAATTAGGATTACAAAATAATAAT